CCGAAGCGGCTGCCGCTCAAGCTGCTTCCCGGGACCCAAGCACTCGGGTGCTGTGCTGCTAGGGATGGCTAGGGGCGCAGCTCCCAGAGCCCAGGGGTGCGGGTGGGGCTGGAGTCTAGAGCAGGTGCAGAGCAGCAGTTGCCGGGGCCTTTCGAGGCTCGAGCGCGCCACCAAGTGACTGAAGGGGTCCCCTCTCCTAGTTAGTTACCAGGCTGGGGAGACTGCTTGCTGACCAAAATGAGAGACATTCTATTCTGTACTTGGAAGAATTGGAGATGCAGAAAACGCCAGTGCAAGACCCATGGAATAACTAGCTAGCTACACTTCAGGGAACTGGAAAGAGGGAAAAAGCCTATTACCAGAAGTCACAAAATCTTGAAGCTCGGAAAAGCAGGGGAAAGGCCTACTGAACCCAGCTCTTTGGGAACATCCACCCCACCCCCAGGTCTTTGTTTTCTCTAAAAACTCACCTCCTTGTAAAGAAGGGGGAAGTACTGGGCCTTTTAAATTTTCATCTGAGAAACATCAAGGCCTCTAGAAAACAAAATATTGTCTGCTTCTTCTGGTGCCTGGATTTTAAGGTCTGCACACCCCCTGCCCCCTGCAAAACAAGGCTGTCTCACAGACAAGTTGAAATACCAACCAATACCAACCAAGCTTTCTACCTGTGCTGCAGGTTGCCACAAGCTGGACTAGCCTCAGATGGTCCTAAGTCTGAGCTCCAAAGGAGACTCTTTGGATTCTATGAAGTGGGCTAGCCTCTGGTTAAGTAGAGTGCAATCCTTCTGAGCTGAAAATAACCTATTTTCCTAAAACCCTGCACAGGCCCTGAAAATGTCATTTCTGGGAAGCTGATGGAACAGGAAAATTACAAAATCTTATCCAACCCTGGGTTTTCATCACCATAAGGATGTCAATCACTGTCCCACCAGAGAGGCAGTGTCCTCTTTAAAGCTGCCACCTAGTAAAAAGAAGACGAGTTGGGGACTGAGGCCTTTGCCCCCTGACCAAGGCATCTCCCGGGCCCCCACCTAGTAACTGACTCTTCACAGGCTTCTTTCTACATAGTAGGGGGTGGTGTTTGACTTCTCTTCTCACAGCCTGTGCTTCCTCCAACTCTTTCTCTGACACACCAGGAACTAACTCTCCTCCCCACCAATCTTTGGTCAGATTTGCCACCAGCACTGTAATTATGGGAGAAAGTGGCTCCTCTCTCCAGTCTGCCTAGAGGGAAGGGGCCCCACTGGCTGACTACAGGAGGTCACTCAGCATTCTCACATAGCTAACCCAAAATAGCTAGTCCTCCCGCACTTCCCACTGCTCACCTCAGTGCACAACCATCCCACCCTTTCACCTAGGGTAACTTCTCCAGTCTTTCCCCTGCTGTGATGGATGGTCTTGTCTACATCCACTGTAATTTTCTTGATATTCCCCCGTCTCTCTGAAAAATGCAGTTTTTCAAGATTGTGTCTCAGACCACTTTGGGGATGGGAAGAGAAAAATGAGTCTTGCTACTTGTTCTTGTTGTGCCCAAACTCTGAACCCTCCAAATCACCAAGAGACCTGATCAGATGCAAAAGCAAAGAGTTTTTAATTTTAGGAGTTAACTCGGTATCTCTGGCACAGCAGATGAAGCAGGCAGGGACCTCAAGCAGCAGTGGGGAAGGGAATATATTAGGGTAGAGCAAGGAGAGTATCTAGGGGTCCCCCAATTGCATAGCAACAATCTCAGGATTGGTGCACCTCCAGGCTGGGGCAACCTGTCCTGTGCTGATTGGTCAACTGCAGCTGCAGGAAGGTTGCTATGCCTCCAGGCCCTCCTAGGGTAGTTGCTATGCTCTCCATTCCATTGTTATTGTTAAAGCACCTCCATAGCCTGCCAGCTAACTTGTGATTGGTTCTTTGACACATGGAGGGTATCTGGCTTCCTAGTGACTAGAGCAAGGTCTGGCACGGTCAGGAGCTCAGCACATGTTGCTGAGTCAGGGGCCTATATCTTGCTGGATCTTTTCTGCAGTCTGTCATGGCTGCCAAAGCAGGGGGCTGAATGAGGGTCTTAAATGAATTCTCTGGAGTTACTGATACTTAGGCCACCATAGAGATGGAGCATTTAAATGCTGTCATGGGGACTCTGAAGTTCAGCCCATTAATCACAGTGCCCAGGGCCAGCTTCTTGTCTGAGCCTTGGAACTACTATTGTATTTGTCCTGAGACAACAGCTTACTCCTCAGAATTCTTGACAGGCTTATCTTTTGTCCTTTCCTCTCCTTTGTCATCTGTTCATCCTTTTTAGCCCTCTTCATGAGGTACACAAGGTCCCACTTGTACTACTGGCCCCTAATCGTAGACTTCACAGACTCCAGAACTGTGGGGGAAATGTCTAATGTCTGTTAAGTCACCCAATAACTGGCCAACTAAGAAAGAGTGATCCCTATAGCTCCTGGAAGACAAGATCCACTTCCTAACACAGAATAAGCACTGAATTTAAAAAGGAGGAATAAATAGAAGTTGAAGGGAACAAGCTTTTCAAGGACCTTTCTTTGTCCAGGTTCTTTTATTCTCTATTTTTGAATTGTCTTACAAACCACAGCATATGCATAAGTCCTCTTAATTTTGAAAGTATTAATTTCTGTTAAGTAAATAAATTGTTTGTACGATTTAGTAATTAGTGAATTGCTCTATGAGGGAAGTTGGAAAAGTGACACACAGTTAAAACTTTTTCAAGATTGTTTAAAATTAGGATAAAATGTGGCTATAATGACTTAGCCTCAAATTTCTGCAACATGCATTCAGTTGAAGAGGTTTTTGCTAATGGTGATAGACAAAAAGCAATCTGCATCATAAGACAGGATAGACCTCACTTTATCTTGTGTTGAGTCCTGTAACACAAGAAACTATAGAAACATTCAGTCTGTTTCACCAAGAGCCAACATACCAGGAAACATGCAAAATTCAGCACAAATGCATTACTGTTCACCTTTGACACCCAATTCTGAGTCCAGAATTATGCACTCCGTGTCTGATGGACTGTGATTTCTAAGACTATGAGCCAAAATATCCCCATCTTCCCATGTTTCTTCTTGCTAGATATGGTCACAACGATGCAAAAAGGAACACACTTTCCCATACTTAGTCTCAACCAGTCTGGTAAAAGAGAGTCTGAGACTGTATCTCAGAGGGCAAAGAGGAGGCAGTGTGGGAGCATAAAAGCTGGGGCTAGAGCCTTGATGTCTCCTCCAGTCTCTCTAGTAGCTCCTGGAAGTTGGAAGAGACAGAAACAGATACTGCCTGGGACTTTCACTGGAACACAGCCTCCTGATACACTGATTTCAACTCTATAAGTTTTGTTTCAGATTTCTGGCTTTCTGTGAAATACTATATTTCTGTTATTTTAAGCCAGTAGGTTTGTAGCCTCTACAGGAAACCAATAAGATACTACTTAAAACAAGGCATGGTGATGCTTTAGTTGCTACTGTCTGCCTGACTCTATAGCAAGTGAATAGCTACTGATCCCACCCTACCCCCTTCCTTTTTTGGAGGACAAGGATTTCATTCATCATCGAATCCTTTACCACATCTGGCAAGTAAAGCATGTGCTGCAGAAGCTCAGTAGAGGTTGTTCAAATCCGTCTGAAGCTCAGTCCCTGAGGGGACCTGTGCTCTGATGGGCACACAA